GTGTGTGTTCATTGAGTATGTGTTCATTGAGTGTGTGTGTTCATTGATTGTGTGTGTTCATTGAGTATGTGTGTTCATTGAGTGTGTGTATTCATTGAGTATGTGTTCATTGAGTATGTGTTCATTGAGTGAGTGTGTTCATTGAGTGTGTCTTCATTGAGTGTATGTGTTCATTGAGTGAGTGTGTTCATTGAGTGTGTCTTCATTGTGTGTGTGTTCATTGAGTGAGTGTATGGTATCTGCTCTGGTCCTGGTTTCTGTTCTCTTGTTCTCCTTAACTGCATTGTAGATCAGATTTCATTTGTTTTTTAAGTTCCCACATGAATCCCCCATAGACCATCAGTTAGTTGAGAGTGATGCTCTTCTCCCAGCTGCCCTTGCTCTCCTCTCCCGTGGGTTTTGCATATTCTGAACGGTACCCAACAGCACTGCTGTAAGTCCCACTGCAGCCCTGGGGGCTAGTATGTGACATTTGCAACTTACCCACAGTACTGCATCTGGATTGATGGACTCAGTGCCCTCCTGGGGAAGGATATGTCCAGTGAGCTAACCAAGAGTGACTTGGACACGTTGCTGAGCATGGAGATGAAGCTCCGACTGCTGGACTTGGAGAACATTCAGATCCCGGAGGCACCACCTCCAGTCCCCAAGGAGCCCAGCAGCTATGACTTTGTCTATCACTATGGCTGAGCAGCAGAGGACTGGGCCCAGGAGAGACACATTGGCGCCCGTGCCTTGCCCTCCACTTGTACAAACTCTGTAGTGATTGTGGCAACTACTCCTCAAACCCAGTGGGACCCAGAGTTTCTCTCTGTTCCATCCACTGGGAGTCATGAAGTCAGGGCATGCTGCCCTCCTCAGCACCACAGAGCCTGGGTTGGGCTTGGAGGAGTGAATTCCAGATGTTCTTGCCTCCCACTCTGCATCTGCGTCTGCATCTGCATCTGGTACTTGACCGACTGACAGCCATCCCCTTTCCTTTCAAGCCTACTCTGGTTTGCAGGAGAACTGGTGTGTGCTAGAGCTGGTCCATGAAAGGCTGCCATGGAGACAAGAGGCCTGAGGATGTTGAGAGCCTTTAGTGGCTCAGGCAAGAACAGCCCTTGAGCTCTTTCTTAATAGGTCTCTGAGGGCTCATTCCAGCCTCATCCTGTGCCAAGATGCTGCTGCCTCTGGGGTTTGGCCCTACCATCTCTGGTCTCTAGAGATGCCCATCTCTCGTCCATGAAGGTATTAGGACAGGTAGTAATTTCCCCCCAAGCACTCAGCCTCATCCCGGCCAGGCAGAGGCCCCAGCCTGAGTCCTGCTCTCTTAGGCTCTAGGAGTGCTGCAGGGAAAGGCAGGCTGAGGCCTCTAGCTCACCCCCACCAGTTCTATCTTTTCAGTGCTGAGGAAGAATGCTCCCATGCCCCCTTAGTTAAAGGCCCTTCTGCTTGCTTCCCCTTTCCCCCAGACAAGGGGCACTGCCTTCCTTTCTCTCCTTCCTGGCACTGTGGTTTCTGCCATTAGCCATGATTTCACAGCGGCTGGGGCCACAGCTGTGCCACGGGCCTTCATGGGTGCTGCAGCACTGGAAGCACACGCACAGCTCTTCCCTTGAACGCATGTTCACACGGTGGTATTCAGTACTGGTAGCTTGGCATGGTGGGTACTACCCGATGAAGAGTGTATATATATTTTCTCTACTATAGGCCATACTTATACAGACATGTATATATATTTATATAAGATCTTCCTATCCTAGGACAGAATGTTGAAGGGAAAATAAAACTGAGAGCAAAACTGTAGTGCCCTCAGTCATGAGCTCCGAGTGTAACCGGAGAGCCAGGGGCTTCCTGTCAGTGATGTGTTTTCAATAAATACTCTTTCATGTAGACTGGTTCCTATCAACACCTCTCCTTCTGCACTTGGTCCCAGCCCCAAGGGTGAGGACCCACCCGGCGGCCTTCATCTCAGTGTGCCTGGGGGCGTCTGGAGAGCTCCCAGCCACTTCCAAGAGCATCTCCCTCTCCCCTCATCTCTCCTGCTCTGTCATGCGCAGACTGCTCACACTCGCTGGCTAAGGATGCTCACAGATTGTGGTACAGGACAGAGTGTTTCCTGCTCATCCCCGCTGGGTACAGCCTGGAAAAGCATACTGTACACCCCCAAGAACCCATCCTCCCTTTTTTTCCCTGCCAGGGACACAGCCAGGGAACAGCTCGAGTACTTATGCCTTTCAAAGAAGACATGTTCTGCACCCCGTGTGTTGCCTGTACTTAGTGCCCAGCCTTCCAGCTGGTGCTTTAAGCTGTTGCTCCCATCAGCAGCCGTGGTAGCTGGGAGGCTTGAAAGAAGGCAGTGATGAAAATAGATACTTCCTCTTGCCACTGTCGGAAGGGGGTGAGGACAGGCGCTTTCAGAAGGCATAGAAAGTGGATGCAACACAGGCCTTGAGGGCTGAACGAAGCCAAGACCTTGGGCTGCGACGGGCACCATTGTAGGTCTTAGGAAGCATTGAATCAACTAATGCTTTCATGATGCCAGCTGGCAGCAGCCTACAGCAGCAGTGTGCACAAAGCACAGCTTACGCTCTGGCCTTGAGCCTTCTGCTAGGAGCCAGGAGCCCAGCCAAGTCATGTGCAAGGATTCCTGTTTGCAGCCAGTCCTAGTAGAGCCCGGATGAGCAGAAGCTGAGAACTGGGCCAGCTGAGTTCTGCACCCCTAGCTTGCATGGCTAGCCCACATACTCTACCTAGAATCTGAGTAGAGGCCACCACAATCTGCTTTCCTGGGCTCCTGGTAAGACTAGATCCTTCTCACCCCGCTTCCTGTCAGGTTCCATTTCCTCTGGGATGATCTTCCCGTACTCAGCCTATTGAATAATTCTCAGAAATTTATAGGCATATGTAATTTCACAAAGTGTCCATTATTTGCCACGACCTTTTACGTCTTTCTAAAATTTAATGGTTGTCACGTCGTTTCCCAGCTGCTTGTGGTCCCAGAAGAAAAAAAGCCCACTACAGAGTTATTAGTATTTGTGATTCTTTCCTGGTGCTCAATTAGGGGAAAGATACAGAGGGACTGTGTTGGAAAGCTTGCTGTGGCCGCCTTAGTTAGATAGCCGCTCTGGCTCCGCCCACCATTACCGGCTTCCGGCGGAAGTCTCGCCTCCAGCGAAACAGTACCCATCTGGAGCTTCCGGCAGGAGTCTCCGGGCGGGAGCCCGGGCGGAGGTAAGTGGGCGTGTGGTGGGCGGTCCCCTGCGTTCTCGCCCGGCCTCAGTTTCCCCAGCCTTGCTGTGGCTCTGTGCCCGTTCGCCTGGCATTCACCAAGCACTTACGAGGGGCCAGGTCTTAGTGGGGGAACCAGATTGGTCCTGCCGAGCAGGCGCGGCAGGGACACGTGAGCAAACACAATCGTCACGCGGTGGGAAGTGCCACGCGCACTGGGGGCCCTGGGGAAGGGGACAAGAGCAGAGAGCATCAGGTTGCCGAGGAGGACACCGGCTGATGTGCTGGGCACACGGCCGTACGTGGGATTGCAGCTGGCAGGCAGGATCCAGGGAGGACTTGCGGACCCAGCCCAGGGCTCTCCAGTCTACTGAAACCGGCAATCTCAGTTTCTTTCCCGGTTGCAACTTAAAGGAAGGAAGGGGCTTATTTCCCCCCATAGTTCTTTGTGCAGTCTGTCGTGAGGAAGTCAGGTCAGACCGCGCTTGAAGCAGCTGGTCACCTCGTTTCCACAGTCCTGAGGCATAGAATCTTGAGAGCCATCAGTTTTTGCTAGTGTCCCTCTCCCCTCTTTGTGGAGTCCAGGAGTCCCTGGCCACAACTACATGAGTGTCCTCACATCAGTTAACCTGATCAAGAGATTCTCTTTCTCGTATGCCCGGAGCCCCCTCCCAGGTGAACCTAGATTCTGTCAGGTTGACCACACTAACCGTCCATCACACCAGTCAGTCTCTGACTCTGTGGACTGCAGGCACGTGCAGTCAGTAGGTGAACGGAAACTGTGGCAGGTGGAGACCTGAGGATTATTAAGATAGCTCCTTGAAGCACCTTGAGGTTGAGCTGTCAGTTGGTGCTACTGGGCTCCTCTTTCTTCACAGAGAGATTGGAGTGATCTTGGTGGGTTGGAAATGAGGGCCGCAAAGAGAGGCTGGGTTCCAGCCCTCAGGCCTCAGTGGTGCTTACAGGCTGAGTTAGAGAGAAAGCTCTGGCCAAACCGCTCTGCAGGAAACAGAAGACTCCAGAGAGTGTGGCAAGTTGCACCCACTACGTCTCTGAGGAGGAAGCTGTCAGTTTCGTGAGAGGAGCCACAGAAACCTGGGCTCTGGTGAGGCGGCAGGGAAAGAGTAACTGCGGCCTGTGTGAACAGCCTGACAGACTGAGGTAAGGGAGTGGGCCTGGCATTGGGAAGCTTTGCTGTAGGTGACAGAATGACTCCTACTGTAGGCCAATGCCAAGTGCTGTTCCTTGTGCCAGTGATACCCCTGCCCCAAGACCACATGGCTAGAGAAACTGAGTCCACGCAGGCCAGATGACTCGGAGTCTCGGTCATAGGTGACACAGATGGATTTTCTCACAGGTCTTTGATGTTAGAGTCCGTGCTCTGAAGCACTAAGCTGTACACCCACGGTCCAGCTGAGGAGGTAGAGGGCAGCCAAGTGCTACAGCACTGCCCCACCCTGCTCTGAGGTAGCCGCTGTTTCTCGGGGAAAGGGAAGTTTACTGAATTCCTTGCTTGAGTAGCTGTGATTAGAAGCCTGCTCTCCCTTACCATGGAGGGAAGGTGAGGACCTTAGGGGTTGTACATCTGTGTAGCCAGTGTGAGGCAAACCACTGCTTAGTGAGGACACACTGAGTGAGTGGCTGTCTGCTTCCGGGGTCCTTTCTAGCTGAGCTCTGTCTGTGTGGGGGGATAGGTGACTTCCTGCATGGTGCCCCATAGAGGACGGAGCTGGACAAGCTCTCTGAAGGAAAAGCAAGGCTTGAACAGTGGACAGATGTCAGTACAGTGACCCAGGAGGAAGTGAACAGAAGTAGACAGGTTAGTAAGTTGAGAGAAAGGGGAACAGGATACCTGGCGTGTAGGATCCCCATGACTGTCTGGGAAGGGGAGGCAGTGGTTCTTACGGTGTTCTTAGGCTGTTCTGGAGTATTTTGGAGACTCAACCCAGACCCTCCATGTGCTAGGCCAGCACTACAAAGTAATTTCTAGACACTGTCTGAGTTGTTACAACTTGGGGTCAGAGACATGATGCTTGTGGCATCTGGTGGCTAGAAACAGGGATTTGTTAACAGATTGCAGCATAGAAGACTGACGTCGCCCAGACAGAGTCAGTAATGCCAGGCTGCAGAGGCCTAGCCTTGAGAGAATGTGAACCTGGAGGTCTGTTTGAAGAAGGTTTGACCCTGGGTCCCCAGCTGTTTAGCAGTGTCCACAGGAGCCTGAGATTAGTGGTCCAGGTGAACAGGTCTGGTCAGCAGTTGGATCTGTCTCTGGAGTTCATGGTGACCAGAGCTGGTTGCATGCCGGGGGGGTGATGTCAGCCTTTAGAAAGTGGGTCAGGATACAAGGCTGCCTTAGCCGAGCAGGGCAGGGCCTCCCCCTGGACCCACCATGCCTTGGGTCACAGCCTGTTGTTTATTAACCTGGACGTCAGCGGCGCCCACACTGTGGTGTGAAAGAAAGGTATTGGTGGTGAAATGAGACATGTGTCCCCCTGTCCGTTTCTGTGGTGCTGGAGTCACCATGAGACCACTGGTGAGTTCCTCTTGCTGTAGCAATCACGAGAGTGAGCCCACCATGAGGGGAACCTCGCAGCCACCATGCCCACAGCCCCAGAGCTGTGAGCGCTGTTGCTGTCCGCAGAGCAGGTTTTCCAGAATGAGAACTCTTAGTTCCACTTGGGCAGCACACATGGTGTTCTTAACAATTTCAGTGTATGGCAGAGCCCTGGAAAATGTCATTTGCTGAAGCCAGTGGCCAACCCTTTGCTTTGGTGACTCCCAGAGGTGCTCAGAATGCAGAATCCTTTGTAGCCTTTAAAGTCCCTGCTCACTAAACGCTGGCACCTCCTCCAGGTCACCACCCAGGGCTCCCGGGCTCCTCTATCTTAGCCACAGTCCAGGAGTCCTTTGAACAAAGCTCACAGCCAACTCAGTTTGCCCTCTGGGAGATGAGATAACAGGTTCCAGAGTGCAGAGCAGTCTGTCCAGCCTGGTCAGAGAAGAGCCTGATCTCATGATTCTGGAAGGCTCCCAGAGGAGTTGACATTTCAGCACGGTGGGGAGGAAATACCTGTAGTACACCTGAAAAAGCAGACGCTGCCTAACAGTGAGCCAGGGCTCACCCACGCAGAGCCAGGGCCCCTGAGCCAGGCTTGCCCTTGCTGGGCTGACTGACAGGTGGTAGTTTGCGTTGGCAGGCAACTCCTCTCTGGGAGTAACTGTTAGAGATCAGGTACAGCTGACCCACTTGAGTCCTAAAGACCTGAAATCTCATCCACACTGTCTGTCATAGAGTCACCAGACTGAAAGGGAACAAAGAGAAGGGCAGGTGTCTGTACAGCCCTCGTGGATGTAACCTTACAAGCATTACACAAGGGAACGGAGTGTGCCACTGAGAGCATGGCCCCGAGCATGAGGCCCTGGGTTCTGTCCACAGCACTAAAAAGAAAAAAAGGTCTGCCTACTCAAATCACACCCCTCTCAGTTGCTACCAAAAAAGTAGGAGAGCGATGGGCCATAGACAGGCTCCTGAAGAAGAGAATTTGTACTGAAGTGGGTCGAACTGAGGAAGGGTGGGCTGGGTGTGGTGTTCCCTCCACCCCTGCTGGAAACAGACCAGCAGCGATTGACTAGACCAGATTAGACCTTGGACCTCCAGGCAGGGCTTTGGCCTTCATGAAGGCAGCTGGGAACTGCTGAAGGGCTGGAGCAAGGGCTGATGAGACCACTGTTTATCTGTTGAAAGTCATAGTAGGGCCATGTGGAAGACAATTTGAATGTACACTTGAGTCTCAATACCTGGACTGGGGTGGGACCCGTGCCCTCTGCTGTCTCTTGGTGGCCAGAGCTGGTCTGTAGCCACGCCACCAGACCTCGCCTCTCTTCTCTCCAGCAGTAGAGCTGGGGGCCTGTGACCTCTGCATCCAGCTAACCATGGGACAGTTTGGCTGTGGTCACCAGCCCCTTAGGTGAGGACTCCATCAAGGGCCCAGTGCCCGTTCCACATCATGGAGGCCGGGAGAACTCTTCCAGCCAGGAGAGCTGCCCTTTGAAAACCGTGGTCCAGTCTTGCTGGCTCTCCCTGCCAGCCATCTTCAAGAGAGGCTCCCATTCCTGCTGGCCCACGGATGGGGAGGTGGGCCCTGGACGTCGCCTTTGTGTGGAAGGCAGTGCTGACCCTGGGTCTGGTCCTCCTCTACTACGCCTTCTCCATAGGGATCACGTTCTACAACAAATGGCTGACAAAGGTAACGGGCGAGGGCAGCCGTAGTCGTACACTTGCACTGGGTCATGGTGGCTTTTCCTGGATGCTGGTCCCAGGTGGCCTAAGCAGGTGGCTTCCAGGGGTGCTGGTAAGGAAACTGGGCAGGGAGTGAGTTCCTGGGCTGCCACTTCTCTGTGTGACCTCCACAGTGGGGACTAACCCTTTGTTCCACGGGGTCACGCAGAGCACTGGATTGGCCCCTGCCACCACAGGGAGGAGATAACGGGGCTGTGTGGCATCTCTCCACTCCCGCTGTCTGCTTTGGGTCCCACAGAGCTTCCACTTTCCGCTCTTCATGACCATGCTGCACCTGGCCGTGATCTTCCTTTTCTCTGCCCTGTCCAGGGCACTGGTCCAGTGCTCCAGCCACAGGGCCCGGGTGGTACTCAGCTGGACTGACTACCTCAGAAGAGTGGCCCCCACAGGTAAGCCCAGCGTGAAGAGCGCTGCCAGAAAGCAGAAGCATTTGTGGCCACACACTACCTGCCCCTACCTCCCAAGTCTGTGTCTCAGCCAAGCACGCAGCGTCCTTGTCGGTGCTGGTTCATGTGGTCCTCGGTGGCTCCAAGCGCAGAACAGAACCATGTGGCCATGCTGGGTTGGGGTAAAAGATTTCCTGGGACTAGTCTTGAGTGGGCAAGAGGTCAGAAAGGGAGCTGAGAACTCTGCTGGACAGAGGAGTAGGAGGAAAGGGGGTTAGCAGGCTGGGCTAGTGGGGGGCCATGTGCCCCTTGAGCAGTTAATCCTCTTGTGTGGAACTGTTTGAACTGTTTAGCAGAGTTGAGTAACAGGCCTAGCCAGTCAGGATGGGCCCCAGCCCTAAGCACATAGACTCTGACTAGGGGTTCACCTTGAATTGCTTGGTGGAAAGGAAAAGCAGGCAGGGCCTCAGGTGTTTCAGCCTCATGCTTGCCAACTGGCTGCCCTGGCTGGGTGTCCCTGTCCCCACAGCACTGGCAACAGCGCTTGACGTGGGCCTGTCCAACTGGAGCTTCCTCTACATCACTGTGTCGCTGTGAGTACTGACCACACCTCTGCCCCCTTCAGGCCAAGCTTACTTGCTCTGGCCAGCAGCCCCCCCCCCCCCCGCCTCCTCCCCGGCACCTGGCAGCACTCCAGGAAGCCTCCAGCTCTTTCATAAGCCCAGAGCAGAGAGATAGGCTGTACCTGCTGGCCAGGAGCCAAGGGGGAGCCAAGGGGGAGCCAAGGGGCTAGACAGAGCAGCCATGAGTTCTTCCAGGGTGGGTAGGGGTTAGGGATGGGAGGAGGCAGGTGGCAGAGAGGAGGACCAGGCAGTGGAGCACCGCGTGTCAGCCCACCTGTCGCTTCAGAGAGTCCAGCCCCTCACTTCTCTTTATCCAAGTTCCTGTCATCCTTACCTGGTCTCTACCAACAGCCAGGTAAAGAACAGACTGAGTAAGCTTGCTGTTAGACCCACAGTTCACCCCCCAGTGACAGTCAGGCCTCTTAGAGACTTCTTCCTACGAAAGGTGGCATAGCCGCACAGACCCCACTGGCTGGCTCCTTTCGGTCTTTGGGGTCTGGTTGCCCTCAGGTGGGTCTGCAGCCATGCATTGTGGGTCTCTGCTCTACTCCAGGTACACAATGACCAAATCCTCTGCTGTGCTCTTTATCCTGATCTTCTCTCTGATCTTTAAGCTGGAGGAGCTGGTGAGCCCCACATCCCTTGTCTCTGAGGCAGGAGACTGCCGGCCCCTGTCTCTGGAATGCCTTTCTCTGGGAGGGGACCTAGATAGGATGATGACCGAATGTTTAGAAACAAGTGCGGCAGGGTCAGCGTGGGCAACTCGGTGGCTCCTGATTGTTGGGGGAGGGGCACTTGGAGCCTGGAATGGGGACCAGTCCTTGAGTATTTCATAATAAGTATGACATTAGGAACATGCCCACTGCATGAGTCCGTCAGTGGGCCAGGACCTTTGTAGGCGATGAGGCATAGAAGGAAGGGTGCTGACCCCCAGTGCAAACCTGGCACATACTTGAGCCTGGAGCTCCAGTGAGCTGTACTGTCTCCCCTCTAGCGTGCAGCCCTGGTCCTGGTAGTCCTGCTCATCGCTGGGGGCCTCTTCATGTTTACCTACAAGTCCACACAGTTCAATGTGGAGGGCTTTGCCTTGGTGCTGGGGGCTTCGTTCATTGGTGGCATCCGCTGGACCCTTACACAGATGCTTCTGCAGAAAGCCGATCTCGGTGAGCCCCTGGGGAGGGTTGGGGGCTGGGTAAACATAGGCCAACAGGCCCAGCCTGACAAAACTTGCCCTGTCCTGTCCTGCAGGCCTCCAGAATCCCATCGACACCATGTTCCACCTGCAGCCACTCATGTTTTTGGGGCTCTTCCCTCTCTTTGCTATATTTGAAGGTATGTTCGGTCTTCTCCCTCTGGGTACCATAGAACAGTGGATCCAACATTACCACTCTGAGCTCAGCACAAGGCTAGCCACAGAGGTTGCCTGGATCCAGAACTCAGTCCCTCCCCAGCATCTGTGGTTTGGGAATAGACAGATACACAGAATGACTAGATCCCATGAGGCAAAGATGCAGAGGAATTAGGTGTGAAATACAAGGAGCCAGCGAGGAGGGTGAGGAGCCCAGAGGCACCTGAGCTATTTGTGACCTTTTAAGTGCATAGGTTTGACATCACCTTATGACCAGATATGGAGGGCTGTTGTCATCCCTATTCAGCAGGAGAAAGAAACTGAGGAAACAGATAACGTTGAAAACTTGCCCACAGTCCCATACCTCATAAGCAAGCCAGACTAGGTGCCCCCAGCCTGGCATCAGGAGGCTAGGCCCACTGTCATACCGTGTACATGCCTCCCAGGGAGCAGAGTCCCTGTCTGTCACAGGTGGAATGTCTGGATTGGAGAGGCGGGTGGTAGAGGATGAGTCAGGGGTGGGTGAACTGATGACATCCGGGTACCCTGGCAAGCAGGGCTGGAGCTGGGCCGTGGATGTTTGCCAGCATGGGCAGAGTGGCGCCTTCCACAGCTGGGGTTGGGGGACAGCCTGGGTACATGGACAATTGTTCCGTCTCCTGTGGCTTTGAGGAGAAGCAAGGCCAGGGGGTGTACAAGGTGGACAGAATGTTGTCACCTGTCTTCCTCCAGTGCTTTGGGATTAGTCTTTGTCCCTTGTTTACCTTCCTTCTCAGCGTCCCAACTGTCCTCAGGGTCATTACAGAAAATTCCATCCCACATTCATTTAAGTTTCAAGCAGCGAAGCGTCTCCAGCCTCTGTGAGGAAATTATTCCGCAGCCCCGTTGTCCGGGAAACTTGTGTGTGGAGCCTCATGCTTTTCCTTTTTCAAATCTCTCCCCATTCCTTCATTATGCCCCTTGTAGCAAACACCACACTCACCCCCTTCCAGGCCCTCTCACTGTTCCCGCTCTGCAAACCTCATCCGCAAGCCCCTGGTCGCTGCCACTTAGCAAAGCTGCATGGACTTAGCGCCTTTAATCTTCTCTGGTAAATTAATCCCCCAAGCGCCTTCATTACTTATGTTGCTCTTCCCCAATTCCCTTCAATTTGCCTTTGCAGCGCTCTGAGCCCGGCACCAAACAAGATGGCTCTCATCGTCGCCAGGCTGCTGGCCTGGGGCACGCTGCTGTGGAATTTTGCACCCCTACCCCCTTCTTAACCCCCCAAAGTTCTCATCTCTCTTCAGTGCCCTCCTGTGTCTCCTGTGCCCAGTGGATGCCAACCTCATCCACTCTTAACACACCCTGTGCCCTTGCTGTAGGACGAGCCTGGGAACCCTTTAAGAAGGAGCCCCCCCACCGCCGGAAAATCTAAGCAAAAATTGGTGTGTTGTTCAGTATGCTCTGGGGCAAGGGGCCGCAGCTTCATCCTGAGTTTACATATGTGTGGTTTGGGTATTGTGTAGCCCAGGCTGGACTTGAGCTTTCTGTGTAGCTGATCCTTGAACCAGTCATCTGCCCCCTACCCCCATGCTATGATTACAGGTGTGTACCACCAACTCAGCTCAGGGGTTATGGGGGGTTGTTTTTATTTTTGAGATAAGCTCATTAGAGCTGAATGTCATACTGAAGAAGTGACAATCTAGTCGCTGTCCTGTCATTCTGTCAGTAGGGAAACCCACAGCCAAAAGGGGCTGTCTCTACCATAGTTCATACATGGCTTTATAGTAGTAAGGCCCAGAAGCTGGGCTGTATAGATCAGTGGTAGAGCATAAGGCTCTGGGTTGTCAGTAGTGTGTGTGTGTGCGTGTGCGTGTGCATGTGTGTACATTCACTTGCAGATAATCTGAAGGTGAGGGATCTCATAGATGTATATTTTGCATTCCTATACAGTCAGCCTCCACTGGAGCCCACAGATACAATTCCTCCTGTTCCGATAATGGACATGCATTGGCCTGGGCTCTGTAGTACCCACCTTGGTCCTGAGTCTCAGGCCATCTGTGGGGGGGACTATTTTAAAGCTCCCATTCTTTCTCCTACCTCAGATAACCAGCCCCATCCCCTACACCCCAGCACACCATGCTGAGGAAACACAGCGGTTATTGAGTAGGACCAGCCAGGCTGTGCAGGCCCTCGCCTCCCACTCTCTCCCTGTTGCTTTCAGGTCTCCATTTGTCCACCTCTGAGAAGATCTTCCGCTTCCAGGACACAGGGCTGCTCCTGCGGGTTCTTGGGAGCCTCCTCCTTGGCGGGATTCTGGCCTTTGGTTTGGGCTTCTCTGAGTTCCTCTTGGTCTCCAGAACATCGAGCCTCACACTCTCCATCGCTGGCATTTTTAAGGTACACACTAGAAAGTGACCCCAAACCTACCCTGGAAGGAGCCCCAGGAGGGCTTCTAGCAGCTCTGCCTGTTTCTGCACTCTGAGAGGGTTGGAGAACAGGCGGCAGAATATGGCCCAGGGTGTGCTGTGGCTTTCCCCTGTGGAGTTGAGCAAGTGTCACTTGTCGCCAGCACATAGCTCTGAGGATGCAGGCCAGGCCTCACACACCAGGCCTGTGGTGTGCCTACATTGTACCGGACTGGCAGCTTGAGTTACATGGTAGGTAGCCTGGAGCACTCAAGGTTGATCGGTGAAAAGTCCCAGCATTGAGAGCTGGACACATGGGCCAAGTCTATGGAGAAGTTTCTGTGTGGCCGGGTAGACCCCATGCTGGAGCAGTGACACCCAAAGCAAAGGTTTGGGTGTTAAGCATCTTCTAGCTATGATGAGGAGAGGCCTGTCTCAACAAAGCCATGCTGAGAGCTGTCTATCTGTGGGTGCCTAGCAACAGCAGACTCCCTAACTGCTGAGGGCACCTGTACAGTAGTAGTCTTGGGGGTTGGTTGGCATTCTGCTTTGGCTGAGAGTCATGCATCTGCGTCTTAGTAACACCAGGTCTGTAGGCCAGTGATCTGGGCACAGAGGTCCCAACTTCTGCTTGTCACATCAGCTGGTCTGGCCTCGGCCTCAGTGTACACAGAGCCCTGCCCTCCTGACCACAGAGTCAGCTTCTAACCCATGTCTTGCCTCTACCCACAGGAAGTCTGCACCCTGCTGTTGGCAGCTCACCTCCTGGGTGACCAGATCAGCCTCCTGAACTGGCTGGGCTTCGCCCTCTGCCTCTCGGGCATCTCCCTGCATGTGGCCCTCAAGGCCCTACATTCCAGAGGTACCGTGGCCTCCTTCCCAGGGCTTGGTATTACTGACTGTCCCGCCATCCAGCCACCTCTAACCAGCTGTTGCTGTAGCATGGGACTTGTGCCAAATGGTGCTGCCACCCTGGGAGGACATGGGGCCATCCCCAGAGAAGTTTACTAGGTCAGTAACTGTGGTGTATCTACCCCAAGGTGATGGTGGCCCTAAGCCCCTGAAGGGCCTGGGGTCCAACGCTGACCTGGAGCTGCTGCTCCAGAGCAGCCATCAGGAGGAAGAGGACGGTGAAGAGGAGTATTTTGTGACCCAGGGGCAACAATGACCAGCCCAGGAGCAGCAGACGCAGGCTACTCTGCGGTCAGCACTCCTGGCAAATCTCGACCAGGTTCAGGGGCCCAGCCACCTCCTCAGAGCAGCTGCAAGTGGTGGCCTCAGAGCTGCCTGTAAGGCTCTGAGACTCCTGCTCTTAATGTGGAGCTTGGTCCCAAATAGTGAGTGCCAGGCTAACCCCAGACCTGAGCTGTCAGTGAAGGGAGCCAGTGGCCTGTCTCCACCGTTGCTCTGGCTCCAAGAGCCAGGGTGAATTAAGAGGTGAGGTAGCTTTTCAGATTCGGATTGTGGGGCAGCTGGAAAGGAGTCATGGAGAGGCTGGGCCTCATCACCTGGACAGCAGCTTCCTCAGAGAGAAGGTTTATTTATAGTTGAAATAATGATTTCCTTCTCCACAGCCCAGTGTTGCCTAAGGCATGAGAGCAAGGAGAGCCCTGGAACCTGGCCTCTCCTCCATTCCCTGCCTGGGGCCTTGCCGTCTGCCCTGCCTTCTGTAGCCCATGCTCCTCTTTGTGCCCCAGGCCCCATCCTTGGGGCCACACCATGGACCCACCACAGGAAATAAATGAGTGTTTGCTCAGTGCCATCCTCTGCAGACCGCCAGTTCCACAGCCCAGCTTTGCATTCTGGCTCCGTCTTGTACTTGTTGTGTGACCTTAAATGGATAACTTAGTTTCTCTGTGCTGTAGGTTGTGTATCTGTTTTTAAAAGGTGGGGTTTTAAAAAGGGGATATTGTCTATCTCAAGCTTTCTGGAAAATCTTACGGATTAAGTGTTATGTATTCTTAAAATACTGCCGAGAACCAAGAGACCAAGACTTAGAAAAGGAAGAATTTACTGGCACAGGGCAGGAGGGACTCGGTTCTGTAACGTGAGCCATTTGTGCCCTTCTCTAGGCTGTGCTGTGGGGCTGAGCCCTCTTGTGACCTGACACCTGATGGTTGCACCTTCCTCAGAGTTCTCCTCTGCCTCAGCAGGGGAGATGCTGGCCCAGGAGGCTTGCTTGAAGTGCTTCAGACACTCACAGCAGGTGGCGCCATTTGCCCACACTGTGGTTCCAGCCCTGCCTGCTGCCACCCCTGTCCAAACCCTGGCAGCAGAGGGTGCCCGACGCAGTGATGTCTGTGTGGCTTTGGGCAAAGACCCAGGAGGGGCTCTGTGTGGAATTGGTGCGGCTGGAGCAGCATTGGTTCTACCCAGAACACGAGCCGGACTCCAGGCTTGTGGGAAGGACAGATAGTAAATATTTCCACTGAGGACCATATGGTGTCTGTTGCAACTTGAAGCAGAAAAGAACCCTTGCATGGCACAGACACAAAGGGGCGTGGCTACATCCCAGTAAAATCTGGTTTCCAAAAGTGAGTTCTTCCCCATCCCTGCTGTAGAGGGATCCCTGTGAGCTCAGAGTCTGGCAGGGAGACTGAGGCCCAGGAGCAGCCAACCTCAAAGGAACTGAACCGGTGATCAGCCTTGAATCCCAGTTCCCTGCCAGTTCCACACTCCAGAGAGCTACCTTAGCTGGCCCCTGCCTGTCTGGGGCCTGCAAGCTCAGAGGTCAGGATTACAGAATGCTCTTGTTCCAACCCAATGATGTGGGAAGAGCCAGGCCAGGAGGGGCCAAGAAGGCTGCCTGTGAGGGAGAGAGCCGCACAGCCCACAGGCTCAGGTGGATGAGAGCTTCCTGTCTGCTCTGCACCGCCCCCTCTCCAGGACACAATCTGGCACTGCTGTCTGGTGCAGTAATTACAGGGTGTGGAGTGGGTCCTCGCCACTCACATGTTGGGTTCAATGACAGCCCCTCACTTAGCAGCAATTACCAGCCAGGCCTAGAGGAGGCCTCCCTTCCCTCCTCCCCCACCCGGCCCACCCAGTTGCCTGGCCTCCTGGTCTAGACTGTCCACCCTCAGCCCTGAGCCCTCCAACCACCCATGCTGTCTGCAGCCACTGCATCTTGGGGGCTGCAGCGTCACCATGGCAACTCAGCGTTTGCCCAGGTTGAGGGAAGCTGAGGATGTGACTGGTCTCTGAGGCTGTACAAGTCTGTCCCCAGCTCCCAGGCTGCTGCAGCAGTGGAAAGGGGGGGTGGCGGTTGACCTAGGTCTGAGTTTTAAGTGCTTACATGCCCACCACCTCTCCCAGGAGCCCACAGTGGGAGAAAGGTTAATGACCCCAATATACTAGGATGCTTGTGGTTGGTGTGCAGACAAGAACAAGCCAGAGGTTTGCTGAGAGCCTGGTATACCTGCATCTTTAATTCTGGTACCCTTTCTACCTTTGGAGCTCAGGGGATCATCTCCATCTGTTTCTTCCTGTGCTGTGAAGATCCCAGTAACCTGAGAGAATTTGCCCCATGGTACCAGCAAGCTTCTTATTTATCATGAATTGGCACAGGCAAAAGACCTGAGGGTGGAGGACCTTGGAGCATCTTTCCAGGGGAAGCCATCCAGGGAATGTTGGCCCCATGGCCGACTCCTGCACTTGAAGGCAGAGTCCTTTGTCCTAGCCCAGGGAAAGAGAGCAGGGGTGGGAAGAACAGGACAGAAAGGCCACTCCCTGGCCCTCCATGTAAGTTATTTAATGCCAGGTGGCCCAGCACAGCTAGAATTCATGGACCTATTTCATCTTGGCTGTGGAAACTAACCTCGCAGAGGCTGAGGATCTAGAAGTCATCCATTTTTTCTCTGCCCCAGTGGGCAGTTGCTGATCCCCCCCAGCCCAGTCCGTTTCTTTACCCATAAATGGAATAATGCTATCTCCTGAGCAGCCGTGGAGACAAAGAAATGTACGGAAATCCACTCATAGTGCTAGATGCACCGTTATTGGCTCTCGGTATCCAGATTGAAGATGCCACAACCTACCCAGGTGACAAGGGAGAGGAGCCCCAACATTTAGGGGTTATACCCAAGAGCCTCTTGATGGGTGTTGTTTCATGGAGGAATTTCCAGTAATGGAAAAGATGGCTCTGTGGGCAAAAAAAGTGCTTGCCACCAAGCCTGAAATTTGAGTTTGATCCCTGTGCCCCACATGGTGGAAACAACATCTCCCACAGATTGTTGTCTGACCATCATAGTGTGGTACTTTATCATACACCCCTCTCTAAGTGCTATAAAATGTTTTATTGTTTTGTTTGTTTGTTTTAAGTGTGAGTGGGCGGTACTAGTTGTAATTTTGAAATGATTTGTTCAGTAAAATAGGCAAGTTCCCCTCCCCTGCCACCAGCCATGAGCTGCCAGTCCAACCTCCGCCTGCCCCCTAGCCACACAGCCCTGACCTCAGCCAGGCCCCTTCCCCCAGCATCACAGCAACCAATGAGCTTGCCTGCTGTTCCCATGGTTATTTACAGTTTCGTTGGCAACCTAGTACATTTCCCTGAAGCAGGCCAGCAACCCCCAGGCCCTGGCATCTGGTGGCAGGGCCAAACCTTTCTCTTAATGTCTGAGAAGAACTCTCCTGCTGGGGACCAGGAAATCCATCAGAATCCATTCAGGAAATGCTTCTGGAACATCAGCAGGTGCCTGGCTGGTTAAAGCCATGGAGATCATGGAAGTCATTAAAGACCTGCCGCGCCCTCTAGGAACTTGAGCAGAGCTCTGAACTCAGTGGTCCCTCAGAGCTCCCTGGAGGGATGAGAGGCACCACGTTTACCTGTTGCTCCTCTGTCACTGGCAGTGGGCATGCCACTGGAATGAGGCATGACTCCCAGTAGGCAATTTTCTTCAAATCAAGACAGTCCCCCACTGTATCTTGGTGTCCACATTCTCAGGACAACAACCAAGACCCAGGGCCATCAGAGATGTCCACGAGCCTGCAGAGAAGGTCACTAGCATGCATGTGCACATGGGTATTCTTTGAGGAGCAGCTTTTACCTCCTAAAACGTTAGGAAATGTTCATCTAAGGATAGCCAGACTTGCCCAGAATTTCAGCGGGCTCAGAGATATACACTGAAGGCCTTCGGGACATATGATGGGTAGATGACTGACTGGGTAACCGTTGGGTGCATCGATGGATGGGGGGGGGATGAGATGGGAGTGTAGGTGGGTGGATAAATGAAATAGATGGCTGGGTGGGTAAATGAATGAGTAGATGAATGGACAGATGAGGAAATGGGTAAGTGGATTGATGGATAAGTGGGTGGATGGATAAATAGACTCATGGATGGATGAATAGATGATAGATAGATAGATAGATAGATAGATACATCGATACATCGATACATCGATACATGGATAGAAAAGGAAATGAATAGGTACATGGATGGATGGATAGATGGATGGAGAGATGATGGATGATAGATACATTCATACATACATACATACATGGATAGATAGATAGATAGATAGATAGATAGATAGGGAAGTTAGTAGATAAGGAAATTAATAAGTACATGGATGGACTGGGCGGATGGATGGATGGATGGATGGATGGATGGATACATGCATAGATGGATGGGTTGATGGGCGGATGGATCAATGACTAGATGGATAGATGCATGAATGAGTGCATGGATAGACGGATGGATGGATGGATGGATGGATGGACGGACGGACGGACGGATGGATGGACGGGTGAGTAGATGGGTATGTAGGTGTATGTATATATGGATGCATGAGTTGGCAGATGGATAGAGAGGTGGTTGATGAGGAGATAAGCAGACAGTGGTAGGATGAGAGACACAAAAGAGCACAACAGTCGTCTGAACCCATGTGGGTCAGGAGAGCCACTTTGAGAAAGACCTGGCCTTTTGAATTTAGTCCTCAGGAGCTTGCTGAGATACAAGGGCAAAAAGCATGGCACACAAAGGGCAGACAGACATAAAGACACAGAGGTGGGGGTGCCAGGATGTTGCTCCCGCTGTCAGATCAAGGTCACTGTGGCTAGGTGGAAGCGCACAGAAGGGGTGGGAGGAACTGGCTTGCTTCTGAACACTGCATGGACCCTGGAAGATATTCTGACAGGGATTGTCCACCCTGTCCTCTTCAAGGAACAGGTGTCTCGCCTCCCTCGCTGTCACCTCAGCAGTGTGCACTTGCAGGTCCTGGAGAGCACCCATACAGAAGTTTCACCGTTTGCCCATCTGTGCCACCCCTGAATTCTTCAGCCTGCACTCTGGAAGTGGTTGTTATTTAAAGTTCCAGTTTCCAGATTACAGAATGGGCTGAGAGAGATTGTTCTACTTGCCCAAGGTCACTTGCCCAAGGTCACTTACCCTGGTCACTGAACAGAGTCCTTCCTCCCAGAGCCCCACACCTTCATCTCCCCAGCACTGCCACCCTCATAGAGGGATGCCAGGCAGTTTTGAGGCCCTCCTGCCAATCAGGCCCCTCTGCCTAGGGGCAGCAGTAATAGCCTACCACAGGAGGGTGAGGTCTAGCAGGGCAGGGCCCCCTGCTGCTATCTTTTGGCCCTAAGAGGAAGCCCCCACTGAGCCTTGTTCCCAGCTGCCCCATGAATTAAACATGCCCCCGTGGTTAACTCGGTAATGCTTTTATTAATAGTTAATTACTCAACGTGCACTGGGGAAATGAGACTCACTCAGGCCTCGTAAATTAAGGCAGTGATCTCGCGAAGGAAACCAATGGGAGTTCATTACCAGC